TAACTATTAGCGGCAGTGCGAAGATCCAAACCCAAGTTTGTCTAAACTCAAAGCCCATTTGCTCTTTCCACTGGATCAAGGTCAATTTCAGTATGGAATGGAGAGGCCAGCAGAGTGGGGCCACATGTCTTAGAAAACAGAGGCTGAGGGGTGCCTGGGTGGCTCAGTCAGTTAAGTGTCCAACTTTGGCTCAGGTCACGATCTCACAGTTCACGAGTTCGAGCCCCGCGTCGGGCTCTGTGCTGACAGCTCGGAGCCTGGAGCCTCCTTCGGATTCTGTGTCTCCCTCTCTCTCTGCCTCTCCTGCACTCGTGCTCCGTCTCTGTCTCTCTCTCTCAGAAATAAACAAACATTAAAAAAAATTTTTTTTTAAATAAAGGAAAGAAAACAGAGGCTGAGAGAGAAACAGAGCTCTGGCTGAGGGACTGTCCCGTTGAGTCTGTTGTCCTGTTCTGCGGCTCGGGCACTGACTCCCCACAGCCCTCAACTCAGCGCACTGCCTCCCCAACCCAACCTCCTCTAGGAAAATGGGGCTAACGAGGAACACAGTAATATGACACTAGCAACAAGGCCTGAGGTTCTGTGCGGTCATTTATCTTTCAAGTCTCCGAGCATTTTACGAGTATCACCTGTGCCAGGAAGGTTTAAAAGAGGCTGAATTTAGGGCAATGCCAATAATAATAATAACAGCTTACCGTTACTGAGCGTTTACTGTTCCTGACATCGTGCTGCCCAGACCTTGTGTGCATTCAATCACGTAAACCTGAAAACAAACCAAGTTTTCATCAGAGGTGACCGACACTGAGACTTTAAGAAAGTAACATCCAAGGGGGTCACACAACCGGCAAGTGTGGAGGGACCCACGCCAGTTCTCTCAAAGAGCTTGAACTGACTCTGCCGTGACAAAAAGTGCATACTGGATACCTCCCCAACGAAAACTTAGGGACACACCTAGAAATGTTTCAGAAAGCAATCTATCACACAAGAGGGAAGGCGAGGCCAAGGGAAGGCAGCCCTGGATGTGATGGGTCCTGAAGAGCACCCCGAGAGGCCAACGGTCAAGGTTATCTTTTTTTTTTTAATTTTTAAAGTCTATTTACTTATTTTTGAGGGAGAGAGAAAGAGAGAGCACACACAGGAGGGAAAGAGAGAGAGGGAGAGAGAGAATCCCAAGCAGGCTCCGTGCTGTTAGCACACCACCCCCACACAGGACTCCATCCCACGAACCATAAGAACATGACCTGAGCCGAAAGCAAGAGTCAGATGCCCAACCAACCGAGCCACCCAGGCAGCCCAAGGTTATCTTTACTTAGAGTTTGAAGCTGCATCAGCCGCTTGCCCTGCCTGCCTGTGCAGGACCACCTGGAGTATGTGAGCCCTTGGGAACACACCAAGACTTTCCAAGGGATAGCTGGGCATTAGATTCCGTTTAAGGGACCCACCTGTAATTCTAGATGCTTGTCTTAGCCAGTCTGAGCTGCGAGAACAGAATACCATAAACTGAGCGGCTCATAAACAATAAAATTTATTTCTCGCAGTTCTGGAGACGAAGTCTAAGATCGAGGCACCAAGAGATTCCTTGTCAGACGAGAGCCCACTTCCTGGTTCACAGATGAGCCAGCCATCTTCTTGCCGCGTCCTCACTTGGAGGAAGTCGTGAGGGCACTGTCTGGGGTCTCCTTAATAGAGGCACTAATCCCATTACCTGATCATCTCCTAGACGTTTGACCTCCAAACACCATCGCATTGGGGGTTAGGATCTCTGCATCTGAAGGAGTGGGGGGCAGGGGCAGATACAGACATTCAATCCACAACAGCTCCCCTTGCCAATCCTTTGCTTTTAACTGAATTGGAGGAGGTTATAACCAAGTTGCCAGCCAACAACTTACTAAGTACAATTTTAATCAGTCATAAAATCATTTTTGACATATTAACTCATAAGGAATTTTACAAATTGAGTGACATTACTTTAACAAAACTCCATCCATTCCCATCTGTATAAGCAAAATTCTTAGCACTTACACATATAAATGTCTCTTTCTTGCAATGACTATTATTCATCCAAGGTTATATGGGAAAAGCAGCCTGACCCACCTCATTAAAAGATGTCTTTCCAGTAAAATTACTTTTGAAATGGAATAACTGTCAAAAATTGTAATATATGTATTGTGGTGGGAGCTAGTGATGCGGGAGATGGAAGAATTCACCCAAGGCAGAACAAAAGAGATAGAAGTTTATTGAATACATTGCAACAGAGTAGTGGGCAGGACAACCACAGAGATTCTGTCTGCCAGGAGGTGGTGGTGAGGGACTATAGCAATAGGGTAGAGTGAGGGAATATGGGATGTATGGAATTTTCCCTTTTTTTGGTAATCTTAAGAACTGTGCCCGGTTGTAAGTAGCCCACTGATGGGTGAGGGCCTAGGGCTTAATGAATCTGGCTGCATCAGCTTGGTGGCCGGTGGTTACCGTGGGCCCTTCTGCCTTGTTCAAATTTCCATCACTAAAAGCCTCTACAGGCTGGGTGGCTTAGTCGGTTAAGCCTCCGACTTCGGCTCAGGTCATGATCTCACAGTTTGTGGGTTCAGGACCTGCATTGGACTCTGTGCTGACAGCTCAGAGCCTGGAGCCTGCTTTGGATTCTGTGTCTCCCTCTCTCTCTGCCCCTCCCCTGCTTGCACTCTGTCTCTGTCTCTGTCTCTCTCTCTCAAAAATAAAACAAAACATTAAAAAATTTTTTTTAAAAGGAAAGGAATGATACAAATTTCTGTCTTAGAAGAGCTGCTTTCCATGTTTTAAAATGATCAGGATAGGAGGGCTGCCTGACTGGCTCAGCCAGTGGAGCCTGCAACTCTTGATCTCAGGGTGTAGAAATTACTTAAGTAAATAAAACTTTAAAACAAAATAAAATGATCAGGATGGGTAGCAAATTGCAATGGTATGCAGATCTCAATGGATCTATTTAAGAGTGATGTAATCATTTTGTTTTGGAATGTCAATATTGAAAATGCACTAGAAATTCTACCCTCTGTAACTATGTCAACTGATGATGTCAACTGATGATGAAAAGTTTCCACTGTCAACTTAAAAATGCGGGGACAAGTCCATCATTTTTCAAAGTTCTTTTTAAAAGCAAAGTGCACAGTGAGATTGGAAGGCCACAGGCAGGAGCCCCGTGACACTCAACACAGGCACGTGGGGAGGTAGATCCAAAAGAGTTAAGTGTAGTGGGAGTGACCTCACCTCAGGGAGAGACTGGAGCCTGGCCTCGTGCTGAATCTTGTCCCCTGCTTCCCCATCGGGTGGCATTCTGTGACGCAGATGGCTTCTCTAAAAGGCCATTTCCCCCTCCCTCTTATGGGGTTGCCAAGCCTATATAATCGCCTTCAGAGTCAACAGCTCTGAACCTCAGAATTAGACTCATCGAAGGGTCTGGTTAACAATGCGATTTCTGGGTCCTCCTCAGACCCATGGAATCATGTTTTCTGGAGCTGAGAAAGAAACTGTTCCCAACCCAAGCTGGCATGGCATGGTGTGGTCTGGTACGAACAGCTGTTTCCTCCCAGAAAAACTTGGCATTCCTGAGAAAACACTGAGCAATTGTCTGACGGACTTTAACTGGCTTAAGAACCTTTTCTGAGAACTTCACCTAGCCTACAACAGTCTTGGGAGAAGCCTACAGAGATTTAACCAGTGCTGGGAGGTTCTAATAACCTTCAACCAGACACTCTTCAAAACTCTTGCTGTCCACAGTCTAACAATGACCATCGAACCCAGCACAGTGTGACAGAAATATAATGCCAGTGACCAATGCTTTTAAAAAGTAAAATAAAAGTCCCTACAACCCAGCAATTGCACTACTAGGTATTTATCCATGGGATACAGGGGTGCTGTTTTGAAGGGACACATGCACCCCAACGTTTATAGCAGCACTATCAACAATAGCCAAAGTATGGAAAGAACCAAAATGTCCATTGATGGATGACTGGATAAAGAAGATGTGGTAAATACATACCATGGAATAGTACTTGGCGATCAAAAAGAATGAAATCTTGCCATTTGCCACTACGTGGATGGAACTGGAGGGTATTATGCTAAGTGAAATTAGTCAGAGAAAGACAAATATCATATGACTTCACTCATATGAGGAGTTCAAGATACAAAACAGATGAACATAGGGAAGGGAAGCAAAAATAATATAAAAACAAGGAGGGGGACAAAACATAAGAGACTCTTTAATACAGAGAACAAACTGAGGGTTGCTGGAGGGGTTGGGGGTTGGGGGAAGGGCTAAATGAGCAAGAGGCATTAAGGAAGACACTTGTTGGGATGAGCATTGGGTGTTATACATAGGGGATGAACATTGGAATCTACTCCTGAAATCATTACACTATATGCTAACTAATGTAAATTAAAACATTAATTCAAATAAAGCAAACTAAAATAAAAGAAGTGAAATTAATTTTCATAACACAGTTTAGCTCAAGAAATACAAAATATCATTTCAATATGCAATCAATATAAAAATTATTAATGTGATATTTTACATATTTACTTCCTCAAAAGCTGGCATGTGTTTTATAGTTACAGCATGTCGCTATCAGACTGGTCACATTTCAAGTGCCCAATAATCACGTGTGGCTGTGACTCTCACATTGGACAGCAGAGATTTAATTTAAAAAAATTAATTTCAGCATTTTACTTATCTTGGGGAGACAGAGGGCAAGCAGGGGAGGGGCAGAGAGAGAAGGAGACACAGAATCCAAAGCAGGCTCCAGGCTCTGAACTGTCAGTACAGAGCCCCATGTGGGGCTTGAACTCATGAGCCATATGACTCACGAGAGCATGACCTCAGCTGAAGCCAGACACTTAACCCTCTGAGCCACCCAGGTGCCCCAGGAGAGCAGAGATTTAAATACTCTTAAGATTTCCTTTTAAAATGTCTCCACCAAGAAAGAAGTCTTTGAATTAGGTTTTTCTTTTCTTTTTTTTTCTTTTAGAAAGCCTCCTCCCTTGCAGCAAGTTTAAAAAGAAACTTTGACGTGCTTGTAACTAATGCGTCTGGAAAGTGGATTTAACGAGAGGGAGGTGTTTGGAAATCTGCATTTTCACAACTGCTGCAGGTGATTCTTGTGCACGCTTTGGTTTCCAGATCACTCCCCCAAGCAGTCCACACCTACTCTAGTCACAGGCGGCCAATCCTTCTCCAGCCACCTTTGCGGCAACCTGTCTGTTGGCCAAATTCTCTCCTACTCCAGAAGCCATGGCTGATACAGCTGCTCAATGGAGTTCTTCTCTTATTTTTTTTTTTAATGTTTTTATTTATTTTTGAGACAGAGACAGAGCGTGAGCGGAGGAAGGGCAGAGAGAGAGGGGGACACAGAATCTGAAGCAGGCTCCAGGCTCTGAGCTGTCAGCACGGAGCCTGATGCGGGGCTTGAACTCACAGACTGTGAGATCATGACCTGAGCCAAAGTCGGACGCTCAACCGACTGAGCCACCCAGGCACCCCTTCTCCTGAGTTATTGACCTCAACAAGGGGATACCAGACTCCTGACTCCAGGCCCTGCTGCGTGTCCCAGAGGTCTTGAGCGTGTGCTTTATACGTGGAAAAGCTCAGTAAATGGTGGCTGCTATTTTTAGGTAGCCTGGATTTAGAACCAGGTTCTACCATTCAAAAGCCATGTGTTTCAGACACATGACGAACCTCAGGTTTTCATCTTCACTTTTTACTTTTTTTTTTTTTTTTTTAAGTAGGCTTCATGCCCAGTGTGGAGCCCAAGTCGGGGCTTAAACTCACGACCCTGAGATCAAGACCTGAGCTGAGATCAAGAGTTGGATGCTTCACCTACTGAGCCACTCATCCTTTTTTTATTTTTTTAATTTTTTTAATCTTTATTTTTGAGAGAGAGAGAGAGACAGAGTGTGAGCAGGGGAGGAGCAGAGAGAGAGGGAGACACAGAATCCGAAGCAGGCTCCAGGCCCTGAGCTGTCAGCACGGAGCCCGACGCGGGGCTGGAACTCACGAACCGTGAGAGCATGACCTGAGCGGAAGTTGGACGCTCAGCCGACTGAGCCACCCGGGCGTCCCAATGAGCCACTCATCCTTAAATATAGGGATAAAAATGCTCCTACTTCATAGAGTTGGACCCATTAGGTCAAGTCCCCTGGACCATCCCTTTACCCCAAAAGGGCAGATGTTAAAAAAGCCCATATACCATGGCAAACCACGGGCATCTCAGCCAAAGAAAGTAGGAGGGGGATTTTCACAGAGTTTGGGGCATATGCTGAATGGTTCGGGGAACGAACGAGGGTAAGCAGGAGCAGGTCTGGACTGAGTGCCATCGTGAAGTAAGGACAGTTTGGTAGCTGAGTTTTGCAGGAATCTTTGTCCAGGAGGCAGGAGGAACAAGAGTGTTACTGGTAACAAAGTAGTAATGATTCAAAAGAGGGGTTATCAGGCCTTCGGAGCATTGGTTTAGGCTCTGTTAGAAACTTGAAGTCTGATGACCCTCGGGGCTAGGGAGTGAATTCAGAACTTTGTTTCCTCGCTATAAAATGAAGCTAGGGGCACCTGGGTGGCTCAGTCGGTAAAGTGCCTGACTTTGGCTCACGTCATGATCTCACGGTTTCTGAGTTCGAGCCCCGTGCCGGGCTCTGTGCTGACAGCTCAGAGCCTGGAGCCTGTTTCAGATTCTGTGTCTTCCTCTCTCTCTGCTCCTCCCCCACTTGTGCTCTGTCTCTCAAAAATAAATAAATGTAAAAAAAAAAAAAAATTTAAAAAAAATGAAGCTAACTGTGGAATGTTGCATCCCGAAACCCTTCACTGGAAACTCTGCACTTAGGCTGGAGGTCAAAGCTGCCCTGTGTTCTGGTGACCTGCCTTGCTCAGAACCTTCAGGACCTTTTCTGGAAAGGATCCCAAGTAGCAACATTTCTCATAGTCTATGATTTTATTAAATTTTTTTTTTAACATTTATTTATTTTTGAGACAGAGAGAGACAGAACATGAACGGGGAGGGTCAGAGAGAGAGGGAGACACAGAATCCGAAACAGGCTCCAGGATCTGAGCTGTCAGCACAGAGCCCGACACGGGGCTCGAACTCACGGACCGCGAGATCATGACCTGAGCCGAAGTTGGACGCTCCACCGACTGAGCCACCCAGGCTCCCCAATAGTCTATGATTTTAGAGAATAAGATTTCTCAGCCCTGTGTCTTGACGTTAATAATATCGCCATCAATTTTCATGGCTCATAGTCATAACAAGAGTTAAGTGAGATCATACATGCAAAGTGCCTGGTGCATAAGGGCCCAACAAATGTAGCTGCTGTTATTAGTATTAGGATCGGTGTTCGTAATAGCGTTAGTGTTTGCATTAGCATTATTCTTCCACGTTTCCTGTGAGACCGTTCCTTTCCTTCTGCCACACAGGCTGCTGCCAATTTAAAGGGGGACAGTTTTTAACTGAAATCTTAGCCCACGCTGGATTGCTCCTTAAAGAAGCATCGCCAAGGCTCCTGGGGCAGGACTTGCCGTGTTCTAACACTGTCCACAGCAGAGGTTGTCTTTTTATGAGTGATCGCTGCTTTCTTTTTTTTCTTCATTCATTTATTTATTTAGAGAGAGAGAGAGAGAGAGAGAAAGACAGTGCAAGTGGGGGAGGGGCAGAGAGAGAGAGGGAGAGAGAGAACCCCAAGCAGGCTCCAGCAGAGCTGGAGGCAGGGCTCCGTCCCCGCACTGCACCGTGAGATCACGACCGGAACCGAAATCCAGAGTTGGAAGCTTAACCGACTGAACCACCCGGGTGCCCCGGCTGCTTTCCTTTTTCCGAGAATTCTGTCTCTGCCGTCAAGGTGTCACTTCTGGACCGTGTTTTGTTTTTCATGTACAATTTGCCTAAAGGCTCCTTGGGGGAAGAGAACCTTATTTTATCAGGAGCCAAGCACACGTGTCAACCCTGCCGCACTAGATCAGAGTCACTTGCCCAGACCACTTATGTGTGCACACACATGCGCACGTGCACATACACGCACACAGACTATCAAAGGCTCCCCAGGTTCTGTTGGCTCTTTTGTTTCCTCTACAACACCCCCACCTGGACCCCCCACCTCCACTCTCCTTCGCACCTGAGGAAACAAAGTCGTTTTCAGTGTCTTTGTCAGACGGGTTCTTCCAGCTCCATGACCTTCTTTCTCTGACGGGAGCACCTGGTTGTCCTTCTTGCTCTCAAGTGCAGTGATACTGGGGTTAATAACATAACATTTTATTTATTTTGAGTGTCTTAATCCATTTTAAACAAACTGCTTATTTTTCTACACGCATCTCGTCAGAAAAAAAAAAAAACTCTACAAAGAAGAAGGATCCAAATATCTCCACAAGCAGACCCCGCATATGTCACCAACGTGTTGGCATTCTTTCTGGCTTTCTCCCTACGTGTGTGTTCTTTTGTCAAGTCAAAACTGGGGGCGGCCGGGTGGCTCAGTCGGCTGAGCGTCTGACTTCAGCTCAGGTCAGGATCTCGCGGTCCGTGAGTCCGAGCCCTGCGTCAGGCTCTGTGCCGACAGCTCGGAGCCTGGAGCCTGTTTCATGTTCTGTGTCTCCCTCTCTCTCTGACCCTCTCCGTTCATGCTCTGTCTCTCTCTGTCTCAAAAAATAAATAAACGTTAGAAAAAGCAAACAAACAAAAAACTAGGATCACTTTTTTTTTTTTAACATTTTTAAAAAAGTTTATTTATTCATCTTGGGAGAGAGAGCACGCACAAGTGGGGTAGGGGCAGAGAGAGAGAGAGGGAGAGAGAGGGAATCCCAAGCAGGATCCACACCGTCAGCACAGAGCCCGACTCAGGGCTCACCCATGAACCTCAAGATTGTGACCTGAGCAGAAATCAAGAGTTGGACACTTAACTGACTAAGCCACCCAGGCACCCCAAAATTAGGATCACTCTGTTGGCAGGGTTATAACTTTTTTTTTTTTCACTTAGCAAGAATATACCACAAACATCATACTCAAATAGATTTTGGGGTTCTTAAACATTTTTCTTAATGTTTATTTTTGTGTGTGTGAGAGAGAGAGAGAGAGTGTAAGGGTACGGAGGGGCAGAGAAAGAGGGAGACAGAATTCGAAGCAGGCTCCAGGCTCTGAGCTGTCAGCACAGAGCCGGGTTCACGGCCTGAACTCACGAACCGTGAGATCACGACCTGAGCCGAAGACGGATGCTTAACCGACTGAGCCGCCCAGGCGCCCCTCAAATAGGTTTTGGCACCGTGATTTTAAGTGACTGCTTATCATTTATGAATTGGATTTGCAGTGTTCGAAGACCTGGTAGTTTTTTCTTCCTCCTTGGGATGTTTTCTTCAAAACCAGAAACACCACCCTGAGCAGGTGAACAGTAGGTTGCAAAAGGCTTTGAAGCATGGGACAGCTGTCTTCAGTTGAGACTGCACCCCAGGGCTGCGGAGATTGACGGATACTCAAGTTCATGTGAGGTGAGCGGCCAGCTTGGACAAGGAGACCGATAAGGAGATCTAGGGCAGGACTCACTCTAGAAAAGCTGCTGTAAGGTGACAGACCCGGAGGCAGAGGGCATTGCGGAGGGGAAGCAGAGGGGGAGCCCGCTGCTCTGTGCAAACGCCTGGTCCCTTTCCTGGAGAACCACGTGGCTGGCTTCCTCCTGCCTCTCGCTCAGGCTTTGGATGCCCTGGCCTCTTTGTCATCAGCACCGGGCCCTCTGGGAGCAGCTGCCTACAGTGCACCTGCTGGAGGCAGGCCCTTGGTGTCCCCAGAGTGTTCCATGCTCCGCGATGGGGATGAGGTGGAGAATGTTGTCGCAGGGAGCGTTTTTGGTTAATTTGTTAATTTGTTGTAGGACAGGCCGGCAAAGGCGAAAACGCACCAACAAACAACAACAGCAAAGAAAACAAGGATTTATCATCTACACACAGAACTAAAATTTCTGGCCCTATGGGCTTTTTTGCATGTTTTTTGGTTTTGCTTCCTTCCGTTTTATTTTGCTTGTGCAGTATTTAAAAACCAAAGTAATAAATTCCTAATATTTTATCTAAAACCAAAGTTATTGGGGTGCCTGGGTGGCTCAGTCAGTTGACTGTCTGATTCTTGATTTCAGCTCAGGTGGTGATCTTATGGTTTGTAAGATTGAGCCCTGAGTTGGGCTCTGTGTTGATAGTGTGGAGTCTGCTTGGGATTCTCTCTCTCTCTCTCTCTCTCTCTCTCTCTCTCTCTCTCCTTCTGCCACCTCCCCCCTTGAAGTAAGAAAATAAACTTTTTAA